ACAGAGGTGACCCCAGACAGCAAGGACCAGCAGGGGACAAAAACTCTGCTTCCCCGTCCCAGAGCAACTTGGCCGTCTCTGGGGCCCCAGTGGCTTCTCATGAGGATCTGGGAAAGGGTAGCTCACCAGCTCCTGCTGAGAATGGTGACTTGGCATTGCACACAGGGTGGGCATAGGGGTCCAAGCTGAGAGAAGACCCCATGAGTAACCTGGGAATAGGGAGACACACACGTGGCACAATGTGACCTGAGACCGTGGACATGGACTCCCAGGCCTGGCCTGGACTCTTAGCTGGTGGCTAGTGGGGACACAGACAGAAAGTTAGCTGAAGGCAGGATACAGTGCTGAATGCTGGGGCTGGGAGCTTTGCTCCTTCTAGCTGTGCATGTGAACTCGGGCAGGGCACTGCACATCTTGTATCCTCAGTGTCCCCTGGCTCCCTGCAAAGTACATCCATGGTCTTAGCTCCATAACATTCAAGCCAGGCTGTGAGTCGTTGGGGCCGTGCTACTTCCATTTACGGAGGAGAGAAGGGGGTGTGGAGAGGTGAGGGCACTGTCTCAAGGTCGTGCAGCTGGTATGCGTGGGAGCCAGAGTTGGGCTGTGTCTCCCCCAAAAAGGAAAGGGGAATGTCACCCATTGCTGCTGTGCTGCCTCCTCTGTGAAAACAGAGGGAAGAGGGGCTGGCAGGGAGCGTCAATAGGGACCTTCCCTACCCTTCCCTTCCTTCCCCAGAAGCAGGGAGATGGCTCCACTCCCCTGGTGCCTTGTATCCCTGACACCCAGGGACTCCTGAGCACCTTCCAGCAACTCCTGCTGAAGAAAAAGACAGGCCAAGGACCTATGTGTCTGGGGCATGTAAGAGAAGTGAAAGGAAGCAACGGCTGGGGCCGGGCTTCAACTTGACGGTCGCCAAGACCAACCTTCCTGGATGTCCTCATTGCTCTGTTGCCCAACCAGCTCCCAGACAGCAACGCGCAAAAATTTCCCAACAAGACTCACTCGAGAGAAACCCCAGAGCCAGACACTGTGGTTGGTGACTATCTTCAGAGGGATTCAGATAAGTTTCACCCCAAAGGGAACCCAGACCTTCTGAAGGCTGAGCCCTCTGAGGCCCCGTATACAGTCAGTGCTCAGCATACATCCAGCTTCTTTCCTGCCAGTGTGTTCCCTAAAGAATGTCCAAAAATCCCATTCAATTCAGTCACACTACTCCCCTTCTCATATGACTTCCATGGTTCCTCCTCCAAGAGAACAAAGTCCAAATGTATCTGCCTCACATTCAAGGCCTTCTCCCTGGCCCCACCTATCACTCACCTGTGCATTCTATGCTCTAGCCAAACCATCCCAAATATTCATGTGCTTTCAGAATGCGGACTCTGCATGGGCTGTTCCTCCTACCTAGACTGTCTTTCCACTCTCCTCTTCTGCCTAGTGAGCCCCTACTCATCCTTCAAAGCCCAGCTCATATGCTCCTCCAGCTGCAGATGGGGAAGTGAGGTCAGAGAAAGGTAGTGACTTGTTGCTCCATGCAGGTGGCTGAAGACACAGGACTAATGAGGAAATTCAGTACCCAGTGAGTGCTTGCTGTGTTGAAATAGTCTCAATCCTTTCTGGCAGGGTGAGATCATAGCATGGGAAAAGCCATGAGAGGGTTCTGAGCTGGGAAATAACAGGGTGGATTCAGAATTGATGACTGAAGTACAAGGACAAGGCAGGGGGAGATCCAAGAGACCAGTGCTGGTGTCCAGGAGAGTGACAATGGGGTCCCATGGGGGTGACAGTGCATGGGGCCAGTGCTCAGATTCTGGGTATACTCTGAAGGGGGAGCCAGGAGGATGTGTGAATTGGATGTGGGATTCAAGGTAGAAGAGTTCTGCATGATGCCTAGATATTTCCCCTACTTAGAAAGCCTGTGCAGAGACTGAATGAAATGACAGGGCCAAGTTCCTGTACTATGCTCATGGGAGTCGACTATTGCCTTTTCACGGTTGCATGCCAAGAAAAGAGAAGGCTCTTGAAGGCAGGAGGCCGGGTCTTTCTTGCCCATGGCACCTAGCTCAGGGTTGGAACTGAGCTGTCCCCTGGCGTAGTTCTCTAGCCTCGGCCTGCGCTGCGAAGGCAGGTCACAGGAGGCAGCGCTGGCCTTGCCTAAGCCTGCTTTCCAGGACCCTGCTCCATGGCCCCTAGTCTTCCCCAGGGTTCTAGAAAGAGGGCAAGTTATTTGTGAATGTTCAGGTGGTCTCGCAAAGCTCTGCTGGAACCTGGGGCTGGGGATGCAGGGGTAGGATAGGTGCGAGAGCCGGAGCAGGTGGTGAGTACCAGGCCGGGGGCCAGGGCTCTTTGGATAGAGCAAATTCATGTGGATCATGCAGGACCTTGGGAAGGTACCTGAAGAACCAGACACTTTCCAAAGATAAATGTCAGTGTCTTCTAGGCCAGAAAATGGAGATGGGGTGCTCAGAATGAAGATTCTGGAAGGGAAGGGTTCCAGAATACCCCCGAGAGCCCAGTCCTTCTGGAAGGTGTGAGTGGGGACTGGCCACCCTGAGGACCTCACATTGCTCCCTTAAGTTCCTTCTCCAAGACCCCTGGGTCCCAGACAACAGGGAGATAAGCAGAACCCAGAAGAGAATGGCCCTTTTACAACAGGGGGTGATTCTTTAAGGTCATAACACTTAAAGAAACTGCCGGGAGGGGCAGTTTTATGCATTAAGGGTACTGGATAAATAATGGATTCTGGCCAGGTACGGTGGCTCACATCTGTAATCCCAGCACTTTGGGAGGCCAAGGCAGTCGGGTCACGAGGTAAGAAGATCGAGACCATCCTGCCCAACATTGTGAAGCCCTGTCTCTACTAAAAATACAAAAAATTAGCTGGGCATGGTGATGCACGCCTGTAATCCCAGCTACTTGGGAGGCTGAGACAGGAGAATCGCTTGAACCAGGGAGTCGGAGGTTGCAGTGAGCCTAGATGTCGCCACTGCACTCCAGCCTGGTAACAGAGCGAGACTCCATCTCTGAAAATAATAATAATAATAATAATAATAATAATAATAATAATAGATTCTAAGGGCTGGCCACCCAGGATCTCATGCAGTCAGGGCCACCCTACAACCTTGGGAGGGCAGCACTGCCATCTCCCCAGATGCAGGTGAGGATACCACAGCCCAGAGAGTGGGACGCACCTGCCTAAGCTACAAGTGGCAGACTGAGGGTTCAGACCCAGGCAGGTCAGTCAACGGCTGAGGCAAGGAGGTCCCAGCAGACGCCCTCAATAGCTGGCTGAGTGCCAGCGTCCAGGAGTCAGGCAGGCCCGGTCTTCAGGCTGTGCCAAGAACAGCAGAGAAAGGACAGGGCTGTGCCTTGGACCCCATTCAAATGAGAAGAAGGAAGTACCAGCCTTTCTTTGTCTATCAACTCAGCTCCCCAGGGAGCGGGGAATGAAGGGGCGATGATTGTGCTTCCAATGTCCCTTTTGTTTGTACGTGGAAAATATACATGTACAAACAATATGTAAGAGGAACCCCCAGTGACAGCGGGCCTAGGGACCTGCCCTAAACATACACTGAAGGCTGGAGCAGTGACCGTGACATGGAGCACCCAAGCAAGGGCTCCACAGCAGTGAGGGCAACCAACCCCTTCTTTGCCAAGGATGCCCCAGCCCTGACCCCAAAGCATGGCTAGGGCCAGTCACCAGGCTGCTCCCTCCTCTCTGGCCCATTCCTGGGCCAGCTCCTAAGAGGTGGGTAGACACCTTGAAAACAGCAAAACCACACACAAAAGATAGGGACTATCATCTCGGGATGATTCAGAACCACCCTCTTCCTTAACAGCACCCCTGCCCCTGGCTCACAACCTCCACACAAGGTCTCACCTCAGTTATTTCCAGGGTCAAAGGGCTGCACTTGAGTGCTGTGCCCCAAGGCTGGCTTATGAAGAAGAGGAAAATGATGCACTAGCCTATTTTTGATCAGCCTCTAAGCATTATGTTAGAAGAATTTCCCTACACATCAGCTCACTCAAGACTTCCCCAAAATCAGGACTCCACATCCTACCTTTCTGATGTTTGTCCTCTGTATCGTTCCTGTAGTATTACTGACTACAGTTCTTCACTCCTCTCATGAAGAGACAGAATTTATTTCCTCCACTTCTTGAATCTGGGTTTGTCTTGTGGCTTTATTTGGCCAAAGGGATATGAACAAAAATAATACAGACAGAGGCTTGAAAAGCGCTTGGGCTTTGGGGTTTGCCTGTTTCTTGTTCTTAGAGTGCTTGCTTAGCGGCCAGTGACAAGCCCAGGTTAGCTTGCTGGGTGATGAGACCACATGGACCAGTTACCCCTCACACCCCAGCCAATAGCCAGCTAAACCCCAGAAGAGATACCCGGAGGACCTACAGATGCCTGCAGACACATGAAGGGGCCCAAGACCAGAAGAACTGCCTAGCCAAGCTCAGCCCAAACTGCCAACAATCAAAACAATCAAGAGCTAAATAAATGCTTGTTTAAAGCCACAAGGTTTGGGGATGGTTATTAACAGTAAAAGCTAACTGATGCATCTTTTTCACTCTATCTACTCACTTTTCACTTAACAACTTCAGCTCCATATACACATTTTTCTCTGTGCAATAACAGAGAATATATTTTTTCTAAAATACATTAAGAAAACTGTATCATTTTTAGACAACGTAAGTACGCATACCTGCCTCATAGGGATCCCATCAGGGTAGTAATGATTCATTCTCTTTATCTGACAGGTAAAGAAACTGAGGCTCAGAAAGGAGAAGTGGCTTGCCTAAGGTCAAACAGCCAGTAAGTGGCAGAACTGGGATTCCAGGTCTGTCTGTGGTCAAAGGAATAAATTTATTTCCAGATCTGCATCCTCCTTCCAATGCCCAGAAGACAGTGGCTCCCACATCCCAAGGGAGGAGATAAGGAAGTGGGCCATCCTCTCTGCCCCGCCCATGCCCTCCTCCTTCTTTCAATGAGGTGGTCTTACTCCCAGAACTCGATGACAGGGGAGGTGAAGTTGGTGGAGCTGATAGTGATCCAGACACTCTTGTTCTTGCGCATGGTGTCCTCCATGCAGTGGGGTGTGTTCCAGCTGTGGTTGCAGTGTGCCCAGGGCAGCTCCTTCTGGAAGGACTGGAACAGGTAGTATGTCGCCCAGGCCAGGATGACGATGTAGTAGACATTCAGAAGGGACACAATTACAATGGAGGCATAGCCGATACCTGCAGGTTGGGCAAACAAGATGAGCAAACATCACGAGAGGGGCCAGACCCACCATGGCCACATACTCAACTGGAAGGCTATGGTATCCCCAGGCCCCAGGCCATAAGAGGCCCTTCAACAGTGACCACCAAATATGTATAGGATGAATGGACGGTCGGGTGAATGGACAGGTGAAACAACATATGGTTAGATAAATGGGATGGTTAGATGAATTGAAGGATGGCAGGGGGTGGCAGGGGGTAGAGGGATAGAATAATGATTGGATGGTTAGATGGATGGATAAATGGATGGACGGATGCAAAGATAGGTAATAAAGAGGATGGTTGACTGGATGACTGGATGTCTGGTTGGTTGGTTGGTTGGATGGTTAGACGGCTGGATAGCTGAATGGATGAGATACACAGATGAGTGAACAGATGGATAGTTGGATGACTGGATAAATGGCTAGATGAATGGATAAATAGCTAAAATGATGAGTGTTGGATTGACGGATATTCATTTGTGGAATAGATAATTTGTTAGAAGGATGTATGGATTCATGGTACTTGGTTAGAACCTTGGGTAGATGAATGGATGGATGGGTAGATGAATGGAAAATGGATGGTTAGTCTAATTATTGAGTGGTTTAATGGAAGAAAGGCTCAAGGATAAATGGATTTGTGTGGATGACCGAATGAAGAGACTCACATATGTTCCCATCCCTGGCAATTAAATCATAACAGTGATTATTTTGTGTGGATACTAAGTTCTAAACATAGGACTAATTAAGCTACCATTCATTTGATGCTGACTGTGTACAAAGCACTTCTACATGGAGATGTTATTTTGTCTTCGTAGCAACCCTGTGACGTAGGCACACGACTATATTTCTATTTTATAGATGAGAAAACTGAAGTACAAAGTGACCTTCTCAAAGTCACAAAACCATCAAGGAGAGGAAATGGGACTTGAACTCAGAGAGAAAGCCTCCTGAACCTGAATACTTATCTGCTGCACTCTACTGCCAGGCAGCTACAGGCTTCTCTTTCTTTAGATTCTGGGTTACAGGTGCAAGTTTTTTACAGGAGTATATGGCATGAAAGTGAGGTTTGCACTTCCAGTGATCCTGTCACCCACATAGTGAACACAGTATGCAACATGTAGTTTCTCAACCCTTGCTCCCACCCCTTTTGGGGTCCCCAGTGTCTATTGTTCCCATCTTTATGCCCATGTGTACCCAAGGTTGAGTTTCCACTTATAAGCAAGAACACGTGGCACTTGATTCTCTGTTTCTGCATTAATTTGCTTAGGACATTGACCTTCAGCTGTATCCATGTTGCTGCAAAGGACACACTGCTATTCTTTATGGCTGCATAGTTTTCCACGGTACATCTGCACCACATTTTCTTTACCCAGTCCACCACTGATGGGCGCCTAGGCTAATCCCAGGTCTTTGCTACTGTGAATAGTGCGGCGGCTGGCTTCTCTATGCAACAACCTTCGGAAGTGGGCATGCTGGTCCTGACTGAGCAGCTACTGCCTGCTAGGCACTTGCCACATCTCCTCTCCCTGTACTCCTAAGCAGCAGCACCCGCATCACACTGCTGCTGTACTGGCCACTATCGTGTGTCAGGCACAGAGCTAAACGATGTGCATGAGACACCGAAGAACCTGGCAGACAATAGGTGCTCAATAAAAATGTGTGGAATTGATGAGTACCAGGCCACCCCCAAAGTGACTTCTGTCCTATACTCACCAGAGAACAAGGGGCAGATCTTTTCCCAACAGGTGATGCCCCCTTCAGAGGTGTACTGGCCTATGATGATCTCCAAGAAAAACACAGGCAGGCCGCTCCCAAACAGGAAAATAAAATACGGTATGAGAAACGCACCTACAGAGAGCAAAATGGGCAAGGGTGAGGCTGTGGCCACGGCAGCGCTGATGCAGAAGGCTCCCAAGCCCTCTCAGCCAACGGAACCAGAGAGAATGCATGAGGGGCATGAGGCTCAAGGCCAACCTCTTGGACCTGGTGGGAAATGCTCCAGGCCCTGCCCATCTGGCCAGCTGGTTTCGCCTTTCCAGTGTGCCCTCCCTCTCACCTTCAAATCTACTGGGGTCTTCAAGCCTCAGAGCCTTCGTGTCAGCTGTGCCTACTGCCTGCCTGCCCCCTCCACATCCGCCCCTCTAAACAAGGACTGCTTGGCCTCCAAGACCCACTCAAACATTGCCACTTTGTCGGGGCCTTTGCCTACCCTCCCCAGGCCTGCCCGCTGGTAAGGGTTAGAGCGTAGGCATCTCCGGCAGGGATGGGACTGAGGGGAGGAAGGTGAGGAAAGCACTGGGGCAGGGAATCCTACCTGCTGTCCTCTAACGGCTTTAGCGGGTCCATAAACCCTTTGAAACTGTGGGCAACTTGGGTCTAGTGTATGTGCTTTGTTCTGGGGAGCATCTAGGACACTCATCAGAGTCCCAAAGGGGCCTGAGACCTACAAAAGGTTAAGAAACCAGGCTCTAAGGGAGAATTCCCCAGAAGGTGGTTCTAATGATGTGGGCGGCACAAGGCATGCCCATCTCCGCTGACACACAAGCATTTGACAATGAGTAGAACCAGCCGTGGGCAGTTCCTCCCTATCCAGTTCTCTTCAAGCCCCTCATGGTACCAGCAAGAAAGCAACTAAATCATTAGGTGCTGCTTGACTCAACACCTGTAACAGAAGACCTGTCAGAGGGCTCCTGCTCAGAGCCTTCAGGAGACAAAAACAAAAACGAATGCAAACTAAAATCCAAAAACCCAAGCCAACCAACTCATCAACCCAACCAAGTGCAGTCACTACATTTAAAAAATATCTTCCCTGTACTTTATATTCCTGGATCCCTTTGTAGCATGACAAATGATACCAGTTTTCCATTTATGTGAGAAACAGAGTTTGCTCTCTGGAGTACATTTGGTGAAGTTAGAAAAGCAAACATGAATGTTAAAGGAAAGATAAAGAAACCGTCAGAGGCAAGTAGACATGGGAGACAGATAAGGAGGTGTGTGGATGTCTGGGGCTTGGGAGACACGGGACTGACCTTGTCCCCCCTCTTCAGAGATGGCAAACTGGAGGATCAGAGAGGGTGAGGGACCTGCTCAAGGTAACACAGCAAGGCCCTGCAGAACAGCACCCTGATTCTCAGTCAGGCTTATCCCCTGTCTCTAAGGATGGGGTTGGCAGGGGCATGACAGGCTGACTTCACGGAGGTCAAGGGGATGGGGCCAGGGAAAGCAGGGCACAGAGAGGCCATCCATGCTCTGGTCCCAGCCTCCAGCTCCTAGACTGCTCTGTTCTGGAGGGGCTCCCCTGTGGCCCGGCCCAGGCTCACCTCCACCATTCTTGTAGCAGAGGTACGGGAAGCGCCAGACGTTGCCCAAGCCCACGAAGCCGCCAGCCACAGAGAGCACAAAGTCGATCTTGCTAGACCACTTCTCCCTCTGCGGAGGTTTTCCCTCAGCCTCGTCCTCAGGCCGTGTGCCCGGGCTCTTCCCCGGTGAGGGCTTCAGGATGTCCTTGTGGAAATCTTTCAGACACTGCAGCTTCTCCTTGGTGGCCATCTCCTTGCTTTCTATGGGGGACAAAAGAGAGCATGGTGCAGCTGATGAGAGACTGCCTGTGTGTCTCAGATACAACCTCTGCTTCCTCATCCGCGAGCTGACTCCCACCTGCCCAGGCCTGTGGCAGAGGGCGAGGCATCCCCTCATCTGTCCAACGCTCTGACAGCAACATCAGGAGTCATTCAGACCCCTTCATGGGACCGGGAACCTCAAGATTCAGGCTGTGGACACTTGCAGCCCATAGAATCGGCAGGTTCCATTCCCCAGGCACCTGCTGAAAAGAAGCACCAGGGGCCCCCATGTTTGTCATCTGAGTGTCACACTTTCGCCTGCACCCCAGTCTTAGCATTGTCTTTCACAAAATGTGGCACACTCAGGCAGTTCTAGGCATCTGCCAAATAACAGCCTGGGTGCAATTTCTAGAAATTAATAGATACTATCTTCTAAATTTGGATTTGTATAAAAAAAAATGGAAGCTCCTATTTTACAAATGCCTTAACACAGTGCCCAGCACACAGGGGTCACCATTTACAACTAAGTTAAAAAAAAAAAAAAAGGATAGACGGAAATGAACTAGGAATAGGGTTTCAGGCTGGAATGAAAACAGTATTTGAGAATGGGTTGCCATCCAAGTATAGAGAATGGGTGTTTATGAAACAGATTTGTAGTTTATTAACCAGTCACATCTCTAGCAGAAAAAAATATGGGATTGGCACTGGTGAGGGTTATGCAAGAGTGCTTGCTTGTTAATCCCCATTTGTCCACCCTTCTCTAACCATCCTCTGGCTTGCTCTGATTCCAGGGGCTGACCCTGTAGATCCTATCAGCCAGGTTCCCTTGCCCTCTGGCTCCCTGGAGCTGTTCATGGTTATCCTCAGCCCACTTCTGCTTGGCCTCCAGTCTAGAGGGAGGTCTGCCACCAGCCAGGCCAGAGTCTCTTCTTTCTGTACTTACTAAGGTCCCCAAGTGCTCATTCTCCCTGGCAGCTCAGCCCCGAGGGCCACAGTCACATCCAGTGCAGCCATCTGTGCTCTCCAAGAACTGACAAGGGTTACCAAGAGCATTCCGAATTCTAGCCCACAGCGGGAGGAAACAGCTCAAGGATGGGCCCCCTGCCTTCAAGGGCTGACCCACGACATAACAGAGGGACACAGAAAACGGATGAGCAGGGAAAGCCAGAGCTACTGGGCCTACCCGCCCCTCCCTAAGCCTCAGTTTCCCCACCTGCAGAATAAAAAGGATGACAGCAGAAGTGGTTAACTCAGAGCCAAGCAGTCCATGATACAACTTGTCTTCATGATCAAACTGGTGGCCAACACTGAAATAATCAGAGTTCAGAGAAAAGTCAAGAATTCTAAGTTCTTTTGAAAAATTGGAAGGTTAGACCACAGTGAGCTCATACTCCTATGACGACCACTGGCTGGAGCAGATGTGACCGCGTTGTCACATGGCCACACCCTGGCCAGCTTGCCGCTCGGCTTAGGATGCACTCACCTGGCTGGCTCTGGTGGGCATCTGAGTTTGTCTTCTCATGAGAGCACCTAACATTACCTGAAAGTATCTTGTTCAATTCCTCGAGTCGCTGTCGTCTATCTCCTTGACTAGAATAGAGGCTCCTGGGGACAAGGATCGCACCTGCCTTGCTCACTACTGTGTCCCAGAGCCCAGGACCATGCCCAACACACAGTAGGTTGTCAGGCAAGAGCTGCTGGGTAGATGGATCCCAGAGTGGCATCCACAGGCAGCCGGTGATAACTGCAAACCCCGGCTTTGCCAATCGTGTGACCAGGCAAGTCACTTGGCCTCAGAGCCTTGTAGACAGGGTGAGGCGGTAGCTGGCTGAGGACTTGGGGTGTGGAGAGGGGATGTGCTGGCTTGGCCCCAGCCACTGGGCCACGGGGGCTGTGCTCGAGGAACAGAGGCACAAAAGCACAACAAAACCCCCATTTCCCCCACACCTCCTTCCTCTCCCTGGCTCGGGGTGGGGGACCCCAATTGTTTCACTATCTGGCGGCCAGCAGACCAAGAAAGGCTTCCTGAAGCCGCCGGGCAGCTCACGGAGCCCTTCCTCTGTCTACCAGAGCATCCGCGCCGCCTTTCTCTGCCCTGCTCCCTCGGGGCCAGGCGCGGGATGCAGCAGGCCAATGGCTACTGTAAAAATAGTCCTAGCGGCCAGCATTGTTCCAGCATTGACTTGCACAGCCCCCGATGGTTATCAGGGCAGCCTATTGCGGGCTGGCTTGGTGGGCGCATAATTGGAGGATGTGAGACTTAACTCCCTCCGAGTGAAGGTGTTTCTCAGGAAATGACCCTGGAGCCTCCTCACCCAGAAGCTCATGACCTCATTGGCAGCTGGGATGGGCCAAGTTCATCCCCGCAAGGAGCTGGGGGGTTTGTTTCACTGTGTCTGAGAGTCCTGGCTCTGCCCTCTGGTCACACAGACCCACTTGCTACACTAACACTCAGAGACTCCTCTAGAAACATGGAGGAAGAGCAAATGGGGCTCCCCAAGTCCCTTTGCTCTAGGCTCTGGTTTCCTACAAAAGGAGGCCTCCACACCCTTTCACACTCAGGACCCCATTGTCCCACCGCCTGGGGCTGAGCCAGGATGGAGTGGGGGTTTTAAACAGGGCAGAGTGGGAACCTGTCACGTGCCTGGCATGGTAGGGGTCTCCCCACTCCTCATTTCCAAGGTGCACCCACCTCTCCACCTGTGGGGGTTGCAGCCACAGGTCCACCTGCCTTGAAGAACACATAGCCAGCAGGCCTGTCCCTGCAAAAGCCCATTCCAGCAAGACCCGCCTGTACATTCCTGGCATCCACCCACATCGCTCCGTCACCATGGCAACCACGAGCGACAGGCCCCTCAGCCCTTGCATGGGCATCTGTGGCAGCCTCCTCACAGGTCTCCCTGCTGCTACTCTGCCCGCCCCGATCTATTCTCCACGCAGCAGCTGAAGGCAGATTAAAAAGCATAATCAGGTCCTCATGCCCCCTAAACCCTCTGATCACCCCTAGAAAAAAGCACAGGCTCCTCACCACGGCCCACCAGGTCCCAGCACGCACCCCTGCTAACCCTCTAGCCCCAACCTCCCCCTCCCCTTCTCCTTGGGACACAGGCCACACAGAGCTGCTTTAGTCCCTCCCACTGCTCAGGCTCAGTCCCCTCTGAATCTTCCCACTGGCTGTTGGACCAGCAGTGTAGAAAGCCCCCTGGCTCCCTGCCAGCTGCCCCAGGTACCCTGGCCCCTATAGGGACCAGAGTATAAGCCTCGACCCAGAAGCTGAGAGCCACTTCCCAAACAGGTGACCTTAGGCAAGTCATTCAACTCCATTAGTCCTTAGTGTCCTCATCCGTAAAATGGGGTAACTGCCTCCTCCCCATGGGAGTGTCCTGAGGGTTAAATGAGGGGGTGCGCAGAAGGTGCTTAGAAAAGTATATATGGCAACACACTCCACACACAGCAGCTACTATTATGACTTGCGACTATCTCCTCTCATTACCGCTATCACTAGTATCCGGTCCACCCCTGGCCTTGGGTATATAAAGCCTTCATACTCCCCAGGGTGAGATCAGCAAGGCCCAGAGATGAAAAGTGACGTCCCGAGGTCACTCAGCTGGGAGTAACAGTGACCGCGATGTTGTAGCTAAGCCTTTAGGCGCTTCTGCCTCCACTCTCTCTCTGGCGCTCAGCCTGACCTCAGATGACACCCTCCAGGAAGTCCCTGGAGTATCTCCGTGCACCTCCGCAAACTTGCAATTAGGCCAGCCACCTCAGCCTCCACACACACACAATTGGCCACCCCGCTGCGCAGTGAGTGCTCAGGAACAAGTCCTCCTCCACAGGCATCCCTGCACCCGCCAACAAGGACTGTTTTCCTTGGCACTGGGCCCAGGGTTATTTTGCAGCAGCCGAGATACATAATTCCCCATTTTAAGAGCTTCCTCTTTGGTTATTATAGCTGCAAGTGATTAGAATTGACTGATACAGAGGATATGGGATGAAGCCTCCTCCTGTGCCCAACTGAACATTCTCCTTGTCTCTGTGTTCCAGAGGTGACAGCCAGAGCCTGCCGTGCCTGAAACCAACTGCAGATCACCTGGTCAGATTTGGCACACATGCAGCCAGACACAGCCTAGTGCCAGTGACACCATGGCTTGATACAATATCCCTTTGCTCTCCCACTGCTTAATATTAAGATTTGTAAGGACTCATTCTGGGCTGAGCTGCTTATGAACACAGTTTCCTGTTCACTACAACACTCTTAGTGTGGAAGAGACACTCTGGTAGTTTACAGATATGAGAAGCTGAGGCTCACACAGGGAGGCAAGCAGCCTGGCTGAGGCTACACACACAAGTGGAAAGGAGAGACAGGTTCAAGACCATAGTTCCCACCTGGCCTGCCTGGGCCTCAGGCACTGAGCAAAACTTAGAAAGAGGAAGTCTGAGGTGGGTGCAGTGGCTCACACCTGTAATCTCAGCACTTGGGGAGGCTAAGGTGGGTGGATCACCTAAGGTCAGGAGTTGGAGGCCAGTCTGACCAACGTGGAGAAACCCCATCTCTACTAAAAACACAAAATTAGCCGGGCATGGTGGCACATGCCTATAATTCCAGCTATTCAGGAGGCTGTGGCAGGAGAATTGCTTGAACCCAGGAGGTGGAGGTTGCAGTGAGCTGAGATCATGCCATTGCACTCTAGCCTGGGCAACAAGAGCGAGACTCCATCTCAATAAATAAATAAATAATTTTAAAAAGAAAAGGTGGATGGTTGGAGGCATTGGGGAATTGCTGGCCAAAAACCACAAAATTTCAGTTACACATGAGGAATAAGTTCAATAGCTCTATTATGTATGTCATGATGTCACGGTGATTAGAATTAGTAACATATTGTGTATTTGGAAACTGTTGAGAGTAGATTTTAAGTGTTCTCACTACATACAAAAAAATGCTTAGTGAGGTGATACGTAATTGGCTTGATCTAGCCATTCTACAATGGATGTATATGTAA